TGGGGCCATGGTCACCGGACGTGTCTGGATGTGTGGCCACGAGCTGGTCCAAGGACACAGGAAGCTCCTTGCCCTCCTGGGCCCAGAACTTCCCTGAGAGCCGGTGCCCACACCCCATGTCCTCGGAGCAGGGGTGGGGGGGGTGCCAAGAATTCCCAGGCGGTTGGCCTGGTCCCGGGGAGCGGGGGTTGGGAAGGTTCCGGCCTCTGGCGCTGTCTGTCCGAGAGCCTCACGGCACCACGGTCTGTTCCAGATCATCGACAAGAGCAGGAGGGACCCCTCGGAGGAGATCGAGATCCTGCTGCGGTATGGCCAGCACCCCAACATCATCACCCTCAAGGACGTGAGTGCATTAGGGTGCTCCGTTCCCGTCCATTTCTCCTTGATGCTCGGCCTGTGCAGGGTGACCGGGTGCACGGGGGGCGTAGACACCCAGAGTGGGAAGGCCGGGGCGAGGGGAGCCCCCTGTCTCTCACCTTCCTCGGGGGAAGCTGCCCCAGGGGGCGAAGTCAGCTCACCGCCCCTGCCTGTCTGGACCGAGGGGTCCGGCTGCTCCGAGTCCTGTCCTGGCACAGAGGCCCGTGGGCTTGTCAGAGACGCAGGGCGGAGCTCTGCCCGGACCTGCGGGTCAGAACCTGCCGTCCACACCCCCAGGTGCCAGGTGCACGGAGCGTCGGCACCCGCCGCCCTGGGCCTGCTGCGAGCTATGTGCAACCTCCACGTGTTCAGTGTCTACATGTCTGCGGGGGGCGGTGCGGGGGGACAGGAGGTCAGGACTCATCCCAGCAGGAGCCTCGGCGAGCAGGCGTGAGCTCCCGCCTCGCTGTCATTCCTGCCCGGCTCAGGTCATTCACGCTGGCTCTGTCCTCAGAGCCGCGCCCGAGTGAGGGGACTGGCCCTGCCCTCATTCTACACCAGCCTTGCTTTCACGTCCGGGAGCCCCCCCCCCGCCCCGAGCTGTCCCTCTCTCCCGGGCACAAGCATGCCCGGGGTGGGGTGGCCGTGGGGGACGCAGCACTGACCCCTGCGCCCTCCCGGCCCAGGTCTACGACGAGGGGCAGTTCGTGTACCTGGTGACGGAGCTGATGCGCGGCGGGGAGCTGC